CACTGCTAAAATGGATCTATTTCTGATTTTAAAAAAAAGAAAAAAAAGGGCCTCCTCCTTTCTATTTAAAAAAAAAAAAGGGACACATGTTTTTTTTTTTTTTGGCCTAATGCTTAGGCCTAAAATAAAAACTTGTTGTATTGCCCTTTGCGACCGACCCCAAAATCTGAAAATCTACGGTCGGCATTTTAAAAAAGTTTTTTTTTTTAAATCGCTTTTTAGATTTTTTTTAAATTATGAATGAATAACAAAATATGTATTTTGTTGGCATAAATGGGATATAAATGCATAAAATCAAATCATTCCCACATTCTCACTCGTCTTCTGCCCTATTTTTAAAATCCTACTAGCGTAAACATCTCGATCAACACAACATTGCAAACCATGGATTATTATGAGGAGAAAATATATGAATGGAATGATGATGCTGAAACACATGTATTAAAGCATTAAAAACTGAGAAATATCAGCCAAAAGAGGGCTGGAAAAAACAAAACATTCAAAACTGAAAAATAAAAAAAACTTCAAAAAAATAAAAACTTTTCCGACCGACCGACCCATGTTTTGGCACTCAAAGGGCAATACAACCAGTTTTTATTTTAGGCCTAACCCATGGTTTAAAAATTAGTGCAAAATAAGTGTTGCTTGCCTTAGGCCCGTCTAATATTGGACCTCTGACTGTGTCGCGCTTATGGGTTATGTAAATAAAGATTTAAACCTTTGTGAATACAGGCCTTTGTGATTTGTCTATTCAGAGACAGAAAGGTGCTAACTCTTTCTAAAAGTGTATGACAGGCCCTCTGATGTCCCTGACTAATGCTACTTATCTTGACAATAATAACACTTTTAAACATAATTTTTCACAATATGATACAAGTACAGCACAGGTTCACCATTTTCTGATGGTCAGAATAACATTACCTCATAATAATGTATACTATTTATATGCAATGCAGATATCGTCCCTTTGCCAGATGTTAGCCAATGTTATTTTGTTTATGGGATAGATATAGGCCTACCAAAGGCTTTCAAGATTATTTAACTATGTCCAGTGTAAGATTAATCTATTTTTATTTTGCAAAACCATGATGCACAATTAATCGTTTTGTTTAGTGGTGTCTCTATCGTTTTGTGCACGTGTGGCAAACCAGTGACCTTGCAGAGAGTTGAAGAAAGCACCCAAAATGTTAATGCCCCACTTGTTTAAAGTTTATATTGTATTGTGGTCAAAACAGATATATATTGTAATGGTTCGTTCGTTCATGTCTCCTTAGATCAGGATAGTTATGTAAAGTTCCTTAATTAAATTAAATTAAATTAAGTTCTTCCATCGCCCGATTGCTGCAATGGCCGTTTCATTAACAAGGGTCAGGTCTTCATCTGTAATAGTGATTCATGCCTTTGAAGAGGGTTCATGGTATACTTGGTAAAAAATAATCGTTTTGTTTGAGACCAACATCATAGACATACACACTCTAGTATTCAACATCGCAAAGTGGATACTTAGTTAGAATAGGATACTTAGAAAAGGATTTTAGGAGTGATATTTGTTAGGTGCATGTAAATGTTAGAAATATCCTGTAGCTGAATTTTTATTATTTTTTCATAACTTTATAAAAAAAAATGATTGCTTAGTCTATAGGCCTTTATAGTTGTACACTCTATTAGTATGGGCCTTTATTGTTGTATACTTTTACAATCAAGTGCCTTGGAATACTCATATTTTTAGGTATTTGAGGTACTTTGTGGATTAATCTAGCAGTCGTTGACCCATACCATGCAAAACTTCATTATACATATAGAGGTGGAAAATGGATTTTCATACATTTTCGTATGAAATGCATGGACTGAGTAATTACACAAAATACCTATATTACACTCATGATTCTGGGCCCTGTTTCATAAAACTTTTTCTCAATAACAAATGCTAAATTGCTATGACAAATTTACAAATTTGCATTCAGCCAATCAATGCCACAATTTCAATAGCTTATAACCCATTCCATACTGGAACCTGGTAGTTCCTGTACTAAGCCAATGGGAATGTGAGAATCAAGTAGTCAACGGGTTAACAGTTATGGTACCTTGTTACGGATGACAAGTTTTGTGAAACAGGGCGCTGGTGTCTGGATAAAATGTTTTAATATCAATTTAAGGAGATTCATATTTATCCGAGCTCATGGTTGGAATAACATTCTTTTTTGCTACAAAATCATGGACATGCAATTGGTTCTTGTCAAATTGTCACAGATGATTACTTTTCTAATTGGTAGATGGACTAAGCAAAATACATTCTCACAAGCTAAACAAAACCTTTACTAATTTCATACCTTTGTCTACATTCTATAGGTGACATATTCATTGAGTAACAAAATATCTTAGTTTGAATTTATTAGGATGTGTATGTTATCCAGACATTCATAGAATGTTGTTACACTGCATGAATAAAAAAGGAAAAGATAAATATCAATAGTAATTCTGTCCATGATAACATTTCTTATTTTTTTGTGGTAACCTGATATTTGTTTAGGCGTCATTTATGGTTAGGGCTAGCATTGTGATTGGGTTATCATTAGGTAGAGGTTTAGGTTAAGGTACAGAGTTGGGACCAGGGATAAACATGAATGTAGAAGGGACTCGTGCAGGAGATAGGCGATAGACCATGGAGCACATGTCATCTGATCTTTGTGTACTATAACACAGTTGCTCTCTCTCCCTTTCTTCATAATGAGAGAGAGAGAGAGAGAGAGAGAGAGAGAGAGAGAGAGAAGGGGAGGGGAGATAACACACTTGTCTATTGTGTCGCTTGGTACATTATACAATTACGGTAAAATATAAGTAATTGTAGTAAGCAGTAGGGAAATAGAGAAGGATTGAGTGAAGGGGATATAAGGAGCTGGAGCTGGTAGGAGGGATACAGGTAAAGAGAAAGAGAGTGAGAAGAGAGAGAGAGAGAGAGAGAGAGAGAGAGAAGGAGAGGGGGAGATAAACACACTTGTCTATTGTGTCGCTTGGTACATTATACAATTACAGTAAAATATAAGTAATTGTAGTAAGCAGTAGGTAAATAGAGAAGAATTGAGTGAAGGGGATATAAGGAGTGAGAGCTGGTAGGAGGGATACAGGTAGAGAAAGAGAGAGGGAGAGAGAAAGAGAGAGAAGAAAGCTAGGTGATTTGGGATAAAGGAGAGAGGAGGAAGGGAGTAAGAGCTGGTAGGAGGGAGACAAGTAGAGAAAGAGAGAGGGAGAGAGAGTGGGATAATGAGTGAAATAGAAGAGAGAAGGTGAGAGAGAGAGAGAGAGAGAGAGAGAAGAAAGCTAGGTGATTGGGGATAAAGGAGAGAGGAGGAAGGGAGTAAGAGCTGGTAGGAGGGAGACAAGTAGAGAAAGAGAGAGAGAGAGAGCAGGATAATGAGTGAGAGAGAAGAGAGAAGGTGAGAGAGAGAGAGAGAGAGAGAGAGAGAAGAAAGCTAGGTGATTGGGGATAAAGGAGAGAGGAGGAAGGGAGTAAGAGCTGGTAGGAGGGAGACAAGTAGAGAAAGAGAGAGAGAGAGAGAAGGAGTGGGATAATGAGTGAGAGAGAATGAGATGAGGGAGATTTACAACAGTGTTTATATACAGAATTCATATCATATAAACCGGGTGAGTCAAAATAAAGTTTACACACAGAAAACTTAGTCAGCTATGAACGAAAGATTATCATACATGTTCTGAACGAGTGTTATGTCCCGAATCGTTTGGTATCATTTTTGTGTGGTGTGTTCACGTTTGGATGAACAGGAGACATTGTTTGCGAGAGTGAAAGAATCGACTTGCGCAAAATTATCAAAGGAAGAGAATGAATTTAATGTATTAAATGAGATGCATTGCAATACTCTTTTTTTCATAAGCAAAGTCACACACACACACAAAGCACACTTAGATGCAGACTGACCGAGTCCTTGGGAGAAACAATTCATTGTGATTCCACAAATTTTATTATGGCATTATGTTTGAATTTAAATTCCGTTTTGATATAATGGTAAATTTGCGATTTTACAGAAATGTTCATTACGTAATAATGTCTTGGCTGCGTATATTTTTCATTTATCTGAGTGTGCGAGAGCGCCGGCGGAAGTATGTTCGTGTGTTTGCGTGTTTGGGTGTGTATGCGTGACTGACTGAGTTTGACTCCGTGTGTTTGTTTTTGTTTTTTTTATATGTATGGCTCGATTAGTTTTCTTAGGGATGTTTTTAGGATCGGCAAAGAGCGAATTAATACCCAATCCCAATTGTTTTAATAAAACATATAGGCATCACTTTGGCGCAAGTCGATTTTTGCACTCTCTTAAACAACGTCTCCTGTTCATCCAAGCGTGACCACATGCCAGACAAAAATGATACCAAATGATTTGGGATAAAACATTTTTTCATTAGATATTTAATAGTTTACTGTTTTCTTAGGGATGTTTTTAGGATCGGCAAAGAGCGAATTAATACCCAATCCCAATTGTTTTAATAAAACATATAGGCATCACTTTGGCGCAAGTCGATTTTTGCACTCTCTTAAACAACGTCTCCTGTTCATCCAAGCGTGACCACATGCCAGACAAAAATGATACCAAATGATTTGGGATAAAACATTTTTTCATTAGATATTTAATAGTTTACTGTTCATAAATGATTTTTAAAATAATTAGGAATTTTGCTAGGTGTATATTTTTTTTAATTTGACTCACTCTGTAGTACAAACATGAAACTAATGTGACATAATCATTAACTAAAATAATGAAATATTTTAGTTACTTCATTTGTATCGAATTTCTTATGATTACATTTCATATTGAGATAAGTGCGAATTTCTACCTTTAATTCGTTTATCAAATACAGCATGTATCTTGGCTTTTCATTTCAAAAATATTCTCTAATAAAGTTTCTATAGATAATGAACTGAGCAAGGCTTAAAATAAGATATACAAGATTCATTTCTCTTCTCTCTATTTCATGACCTATTAAATGATTTATTTTTGTTTATAGAGATTTTAAAATTAAACGAAGTATCCATTGATTTGAATACAAGCTTCCAAAAAAGCGAAACCTTATGACAAACCAGGAAAAGGTGGTCAGTTGTATCTGGGATCTGTGTATCTGTGAACTATTTACATATTGTATCCTATTACGTAACTTCTGTCACCAAAAATCGGAAATACACTTTTTAACTTCGCCAATTCGAAGGCAGAAAGTAATTCATTTTCTTGAAAATAATATAAATGGAATCAACTTCTTTCCAAATACTGTTTACTATGACTTGTAACACTCTAAGTATATTATTTCTTATCCAGTTTGGAAAATGCAATAACTCATATCTATTTTTAATATCGCTATTATACCAAATCATTTCAATTTCGATATCTGTTACTTTAAACATATAAATGGATTTCAATTTACCTCTGGAACAAAACATGTCAACATAAAAGTTAGGCCCCTTTTTTTTCTTTCTACAAATACGATACTGTGGCTGCAGCGAGGTCGATATCAAATAAAAAAGTCTGAACAAAGGCTTCTACGGGAATTTGTAGCATTTAATGATTTGAGTAACCATTTCATCCGTTTCATTCCGTGAAAACTGTGGATAAATCACAGATAAAGAATCATAAATACAAGTACATCATAGCATCATCAATATAGCAATAACACAGTCTCTTTGAGAAACTCATGAAATAACATAAATTGTGTCATGATCTTCAGAACAAATGAACTACCTGCATTCAATTACTATTTCAGGCTGGTCTGAATATTCTGAAGATGGGAGGGATAAAGGCAGATTCGGCAACCCCTCTTGGAAAAAAACCCCTGAAAAGTCTGGGTGTCTCTTTGCATTTATTTATTCATCACAGCTTATTACACGACTTAACTCTTTAAATGCCACACAATTATTCCCCTGCTTCACGTATTATTCATCATGGAATAGATAAACCCAAGGTTTCATGAATATTTAACAGTTCCAGAGCAACATTTATCTGTACCAGTATTAAAATGGTTGTCACGGAGCTAATCAAAACCAGAAATTAGTAATTTTACAAAGCACCGGATTGTGTTGCACAAAGCAATGCTTCCGTCAATCATTGGTGCCTATTGATTTGTGCAAAATTGCACGTGTGACAAACGGGTGACTGGCAGAAAGGTGAAGAAAGCAAGCGAAAGCTTAACTAACTATCATGCATTTTTTCAATGCCATACTTGGGCAAAAGGGTGACCGACGTGTTTCAAAGAAATTATACTGAATTTTTCGACAATGTTGCTGGCGGCTAATAGACCTTTATACTGAATGAAATATATTCTTACACAAGCTTAAACAAAATATTTGTCCTGCCTTCGGCACAAGATTTTGAATAAATCTATATAATCTACACGTTTAACCAATCTATACAAAAAATATCTATGACTTGACGGAACAGATAAAAAAGATTACTGTACAAAAGTGATGAATAAGTGAAAAGTGGCATTTTTTGCATTGTAAATGACAGTTACTTCGACGAATTTAGACGTAAATTTACCTTTTCATCCCTTTATTTACAAACTAGTAATGATATAAAAACCATAAAAGATTTTTACTGTTTCTATAACATATTGAAAGTAGCTGTTTAATAATTCTTGCATCAATTGAAATAGTGTACTATCGTAGTATGAGCACATGATTATTTAGGAAGTATGAGCACCATGCTACATATTGCAAACTCTGTGTATTGCATAACATGTTAATTATTGTTGATCCAGCATGTATCAATGCTGGCACCATACCCAAGCCTCTGCCTCGCTAGGGCTGCCTCTATATTTCTTCGTAAGTGTCTCTCGGATCTGATGTTATGGGTTCTAGATAGGTATCGTCGGTGTTGGGTTTCTTTAGATCTTGATACGTATGGGGGTCGGTAAGATTCTGGTAGTTTGGGGTATCTGTATTAAGATCTTGGTAGACATGGGTATCAGCATTCGGGTCTTCGTAGGTATTGCGGTCTTGCTTTGAGTCATCAAATACAGGGTTCTTATACTTTGATGAGGTCTCACGTGCATTGTTTGGTGGGGACGCGGCTGGTTCAGTCTCTAAACGTCTTTGCTTGATCCTGGAAGTGAAATTCAATAATAAAAACGCATTAAGTTCCTCCTTCTTTGTAATACCATTGAGATTCAGGTACACACGCACACGCGCACGCGCACGCACACTCACACACACACACGCGCGCACAGACATACGCGCGCGCACACCCACACACACCCACACGCACACAAAGTTTAGATAGAAGTGAGGTGGGAATGGTCCCTGATGAGCATAACAGCTCACTGCGTATGATTGCGGATGTCCCTTATAACATTTAAAACAAAATCATTATAAACCATTCATTGTATGAATATACTGTATTTTAAGGGCCTTTAGAATAGGATAATCCTGCAATCGCTTTATCAATTATCGTTTTGGCTCCCTTTAGATAAATAAATTCATATCTATATTTGTAAAAATGTTACCATATAGTGGCATGGACTTCACTTTTAATTGTTCTACTGTAGTTGAGTTAACTTACCTTCTATACATCACCAAAGTAATTAGTAGTATTGCGATGAGAACGATGGGTACTATCACACCCCCTATCACAGCACTTAGCGGTTTCCTGGAACCATTATCATCACCTTTAGCACAAACAAAAATCACATACATGTAATTATGCTGTAATGAGCTATACATTTTGTTGGTCCGTTTTACAAAGTTTTTGTTGATTTTATTTATTCATTTATTTATTCATGTCTATTTTAGCGAGCAGTATAGATCATTCAGTTAAAAAAATACTTTACAATGACGCCCTGCTGCAACATACCAATACACGAACCCCCCCCAAAAAAAAAAAAAAAAAAAGAAAAAAAAAAGAAAAAAAGAAAAAAGAAGTCTAACTTTTATAGCCAAAAGCACTGACCTCTGTTTTATCCGGGTGTATATGCATGCCATTAATTTCAAACCATTTAACAATAAGATCATTATCATCTTGTAAATTAATCTTAACTTGAGTAAAATTAACATCATTATTAAATATAAATGTATCATCTGCATAAACATATCTTTTTGAGTGTGAATGCAGATTCAAATTACACGCATCATTAAATAAATAAGCAAACAATGAGAGGGGCGAGGAATGATTTATGCGGTACCCAAGTTTGAACATGTAAATATTCGATATTGCAGCCTTTAACGACAACACAATAATTTATTGCATTTTACCCCGGTCCCCAACATAACAAAATCCTCTGTACGGCCATGCATTATGGCTCAAAGCATGGGCACACAAAATATTTTTTCTGTTGGGGACCGGGGGAGGGAATTCAATGAATTATTGATAATTTATTGCACTTTTTTGTGGGAACTGCCCCCTACCCTTCCCCGCACTGCGTACATTCATGGTACAGTGGCAAAGCAATGGCCTCGTAACAGTGAGGCCCCCATGATCAAAACCGTGTCGACTATATAAGTGCCCTTTTGTGGGCATTAATCCTCAATACTGTCATTTTTTTTACTTAAGGGCATTTTCTAGATCTATTAGGAAAAAGTCATTGTCAAAATAATTCCATTAAATGGGGTAAAAAAAAAATATTCCAACTGTATGAGCAACAGTGTAGATTATATTTACTTCCATAAATGACAACTTTTCTTGTCGTTTCATAAAGTTTCACAAAAACTTGTAAACAAAGAAATGTTTTAGAAAAATGTATACATTCCATTTCTCCTTATACTAAACTATACCAAATTAATGCAGACTATTTAACTTTCTCAGCCAATCAAACAGAAATAAGGCGTAATATTAGGATGAATATGTAAACAACGCTGATAAGCTACAAACTTATAAACATATTTATGAAGGTCACAAACTGACTTTAGTTTGACATGTAGCTAGTATATATTTGATAATAAAAATAATACATGAGATTTTTAAGGCGCGTTATTCTCTTGAAATCAAATGCTGAAGGCACACTTGTATGAAAAAGGAAAAATAAATCGCGCAAAAAGCAAACGTATTTGGAACAAAAGAACAGGAGTAATATAAAAAATACGAAAATAAAGGAACAATTAATTAAATGCTGAAAGCATTTTACTTCTACATCCTTTAAAATCCCACATTACCTACGATGTTTTCAAGTATAACATTCAGGGTAGTAAAAGTTTCATTTGTTGCATGCTCTTACCTGAGAGGATGGTCTTTGCATTCACTGATACGGACCAATTACTAAAACCAGCTCCATTGAGAGTTTGGACCTGACAAACATGGAAATAAGAATATGGAGTTGTAGTAATATTGACAATACAAACATCGTCCACACACAAAAGAATTGTTTAAAGCTAGTAAGTCATGGCTGCACTTAATCATGAGATATTCTAGTCCGCGAGAAAATACAATCTACAATCATCATAAGCGTCCTCATACGAAAGTTAATTTTTAGATGCCTTTAAAGCATTCAAATGTAATTCATTTTAATGCAGTATCATGCATGTAATCGGTGATTGCTTGCTACATAAATGGCACAATTAAAAAAAGAGAATCACTTTGTAATTTCATCCCAAAGTATATAGTTTCTCTAAAAGCGCTTATGATAACAGCTCAAACTAAAATGTTCTTAAAGGTAAAGACCAGTATTGGAAACGCCCCAATTTCAAAAAATGAAATGGAAGCTCTTATTACCAATCATGTGAAAGAATATGTTTTGAATATTACATGACGATACAAATTTTGACGGGAAAACGCCTACTAATTGATATATTTGGTAAATTAGTATATCTCTTGCCTGTTGAGAGATACAAATGCACGTGTCGCGCACGTGTGTGTAGTCCCATATACATCTTTCTGTGTACAGTGCTTCTAACTTTATGAAGACTTGGCCAAATTTCTTATAATTTTGATGATTCCAGAACCTTGCAGAACATCTATGCTAGATGATCAACCTTTTCTGATCGATTTCACAACGTTTCTTTCACTATGCAATTGCATGACCACAACTGGTCTTTAGCTTTAATAGGGAAAGCTTGTACTAAAATATGAAGAGAATGAATATTCCCTTAAACGTTGGGTCCTAAGGATTGATGTCGAGACATCTATACCTGAACTGTATAATTGATTTCACTGGCCAGGTCCATCACAGTATGTTCCACATCAAATGCACCAGTCATTACTTCCTCCATCTTATAATTGCCATCACCAGCTAGATCAGTTCGCTTGTAGCGGATGATATATTTCTGGATGTTACCATTGATGTTAGATGGTAGAGGGGTAGACCAGGATAGAGTGAAGGAACTTGTAGTACTCTGCAGTATAGTCACATTGATAGGAGCAGGCGCGACTGATTAGAAGAAAATGGTTTATAACAATGACATGCTGAAATATGGTAGACTTATGTATTGATATTCCGGAATATCAATTACTTTTGTTACTCTCGTTTTAATAGATAAGTACAATGTCTAATTCCAGAAGAAGAAAAAAATATTTCAATTGCAATTAAAGCGACTGTGTATAAAATTACATTGGGGTTTGAATCACAATGAAAATGTAATGACATAAAGGAAATAGTAATCTAATGCATCAAAGAGTCATGTATATGATTTATATTGTTCAGGCAAAGTAATTTAGTATACAAACACTGCTAAAGATATATTTACAGATTTCATTACTCCCGATATCCTCTGATATCTCACGTGCTGGCCCGTACTCCACTAACATTTAACCCGACGCTGGAATTAAACATACTCAGAAATTGAGTTTAACAAAGAAGTTATACCGAGGTCTGATTCTAACAAACTGTAGTCCTCGAGTTAAGTTTAATGAATTAGCAGTATACGAACCATACAGTTTGCAATTTAGCAGAATGAATGATTCTCTCTCTATCAAGATCAATTAAATTTGTAGATGAAACTGGTAGTAACGAACCAAAAGGAGTATGAACCGAAAAAAAAACCATGTTGGACGAAGGTTGTAACAAAAATATCTACAAGAATATTAACTGTTTCACTTAAAAAGCAAAGCAATAACTCCCTTACCCTCACGAAAAAATACATCCTAAGATTAACACCAACCTTCTTCAAGTGTTTTGCTCATAGTCTCACTGCTTTTGTCACCCTCCTCGTCTTTATTTAATGCAGTCAATTGAATGGTATAGTCCAGATAGGTGTCTAACCCTCTTATCGTGTAGGAGCTAGTGTCACGAAAAACTAGGATAGAGTTTGAAGAAGTTGAACCAGGGGGAGCGTAGTAGATCATATAATGGGTCACTCCACTCCTGCATTCTGCTGATTCCGACGGGAGGTGCTGAAACATTAAAAAGCAAATTCATGTTACATGCAGCACAACCACATACAAGAATTTACTTTCACACTAATAAACAAAACTATGAGTCGTTATCTTTTTTTTTTAATCTACAGTTTTCGCATTAAAGGGAGCTGCTATATGGTCCTGCTAAACAAGATTCTCTTGATTACAAAACATTTTTATATTTGCTTCCTTCTGTAAAATAAAATAAAAACTCAATTTCATAAGCCCAACAGCTCTTACTTGCAACTAGCAAACAAAACAAATTGGTGCTATTTAGATGTTTTATATTTTTTTTTACACAAGATCTATTTAATTTAGTCAACTGTTGAGGTACGTAAAGAAACATTCACAAATAGTTAGTGGCGTGGAGGAGTTCTTATTTGACATATCTTGACGAAAAAATAGGTACAATTAAATCTTAATAAGGTTGTAAGTGTCTTTGCCAGCTTCATATCACATATAACGATGCGGTTCTACCTGAATGTAATAAACGTATGACTAGTAACAGTTATAAATTTTGTGCTCTGGACGAGTCTTTTCATCCAACTACATTTCACGAAGCGACCAAACCGCTATTCTTAAAACAGTTCATACCTCCCATGTCACCTCTAGCTCTTTAGGGTTGATGGCTGAAACTTGTAGTCCAGTTGGAGAAGCACTGGGTTCTGAAGGTTTAAAGTATACACAAGATACTAAATGGCTTGGACCTATAGTAGATGAATACATCACATGGTCATGCAAGTCATAGTAAAATCATGCACTGCTTCTACAGGTACACTTCATGTAGTTTTAGATTAAAAGTCGAACATGAAACTACCGTTGCGCCAAACACAATGAAGGGTATAATAAACAAATTTTATAGGGAAACGTATGTTTTGCCTTTGTAGAAGAAATTTTTGGTGTCACAATTTAGAAAGATAAAAAGAATTAAAGATAGAATGTATGGAACCTTTAAAATACAAACATTTCTTTGTACAGACTTTACTAAAAAAAAACTAAATAAATCAAACATTTCAATGGAAAGTGCATTCAATCAATGAAAAGTGCATTAATATCCCTAATGTACATCAAAATGTACAAATCAATTACTAAAACGCAAAAACAATGTACCTGTAACCAAATGTATAACTCCAATACACTCAATTATTTTCTTCTGAGCATAACTTACTTCTACAGAGAGTTATTGTGTCGCTCCTAGGAGACTCGGGTCCTGTTCCACCTGTTCCTTCCCTCACTGCTGCTACACAAAACCTGTAATCTGTGTCGGGTGTCAGGTTACTAACGATGGCTGATGTTGTTAGTTGATCTACTCTCTGATCTGTTACCCAGTCACCATCCTTCTTTACAAAGACATCATATCCTACCAGAGGAGGATCACCTACGTCATCTTCTTCAGACCATTCATTCCATCGAAGACCAACTGTAGTTGACGTGGTGCTCAATATCACTGGTGCTTTCTCAATGACTGGCAGAACTGAACAAAAACAAACAGAGACAGTAATACTTAATATAATAATTTATTAAAATACCATCAAAATCAATGACACGCCTATAATAGAAGTTCTTCCACCAAGTCAATATGTATATAAATTTCACCAAAGTACACAGGAGTACTATACTGACATCTTACAGAGCTGCTACCATATGATGCAGAGAATGTGCATACGTTGTTTGAGCGAGCCTGAATCGGATGACAAGGTTCACAAAACATTGTAAAGCACTTACAGACATCGTAGGTGTATCAAGTGCTACATAAGCCCAGAATATCAAATTTTAAAAATATAAAGTTCATTGATTAATTCACATGTAGGGCTTATGTATGGGTCAATGTACAGATGGCGACTTGCATGTAGAAACAACTTTATTAATATAGGAACATACATTCCATGTTAAAAGGTTACTAAATTACAAATTCATGTTGACTTTTGTCGATCTGTAATTATATAATGTATACATCACATATATTTTGTCTTTTTAATGTAAGTTTATATGTCATATATTTTATATTATTTTTTCTATTACTTTTGTTCTACCTGCTAAGCTCCACCCCTAAAAGAAACCCTCCAAAAACAATCATTTGTGACATCATCATGTCAGTGATTCATCAGTGAGCTAGAGGGACAAAAGACATTGGTATGTCCCTTCCCATCAACTGAACACCTGTTCACAAAAGCATTGCATGTTTTTTATACAATGCTTACTCACACAATTCAATTACATTTTAGGCAGCTGCTATGTCAGAAATACCCAAGCAACACCATGAAAAGAAAGGTTTAAATGGGCTATTATATGAAAACATGCAATGCTAATGTAACAAGTTTCACAGTGGGTGAGGAAATACCACCGTCTATTGTGAACAGGTGGTCAGTTGATGGGAAGGGACATACCAATGTCTTTTGTTCATCTAGCTGACTGATGAATGCCTGGCATAATGATCTCACAAAAGTCATCTACTTTTGGAGGTTTTTTTAGGGGTGGAGCTTAGCACTGAGGTAGAACAAAAGTAATATAAATATATTATAGTATTAATGACTGCTTTGAGAGAAATAGTTGTTTGTTATACGCTCAAGGGAAGGATACAATTGTGCTATTGCCCGAGGCGTGCCGAGGGCAATAGCACAATTGTAACCTTCCCGAGAGCGTATAAAAACAACTATTTCTCGAATATCAAAGCAGTCATTAATACTTTTATATACCGAAGAGTCAACTAACCAATCAACTGGTAGAACTCTGTAGAAAATAACTCAACTGGTAGAAATCCGTAGAAAATAACTCTATTTGTAGAACTCTGTAGAAAATAACTCAACTGGTATAAAATAACTCTATTTGTTAAAATTTTTTACAGTACAATTGTGAAAATGATATGTGGGGGCTTGCACCTGCTGACTAGGAGAAACATGGGCATGGCTACTTGTAGTGATGTTGCATGTGCGTGGGAAGTTCTCTGGGTTATTTGTGATCTCATTGAAAATGTCATTTAGTTCCCGCAGTTCCTGGCTTTCACTACGCTGACCACCAGTAGATGTTGTTGATGACGATGGTACTGATTTCGGATCAACAGCTGCCGCGATACCATGACCTATGTTTGATGACGATGGTACTGATTTCGGATCAACGGCTGCCGCGATAGCATGACTCATGTTTTCTTTGGCTGTACTGCTGGTCATAGCATAGTGTTTGAGACTGGTCTCCGCCTTGTGTCCGGAGACACTCATGATTTCTCTTTCTCTGAACCCAGCATTTTGTAGGGTACTGATGCTGGTTGCCCTTAGGCAATGGTGGGTGTAAGCCTTGGTACCTGCACGAGATGATATTGTTTTCATTTTGTCTCCGATGCTGTTGTTTCCCAAGGGATGCATTACAGTACCATTGATCAGAAGAAGATGGATTGGATTTGAACTCACGCTTGGCCTGTGCATTTGCCGGTCTCTGCCAAAAACTCTTACATCGTGGATCCAATTTATCTTTGTAGCGTAAGAATGAGGCAACAGGACATCGTGGACCATTAGTTGGAATCATGACACCACCTTGGCTCTTCTCTAGTTTATCTGCACGGTTGTTTTTTGTGAGTGTATCTTTCAGAGTTATGGAGCATTTTCCCCCTTCATCACAAATGTCAAAGCTGTCAAGTGTCATTTCACGCAAATTCTCTCTACCCCGATTGCAAAAGTACAACATTACGTCCATAAATACCTTGTCCTGAAGACCCACAGGATCATCCAAATCAAGCGAACCTTGGATTTTGTCCATGTCTTCTGCTGAGATAGCTGGTTTGTGAGTTACAACTCCCTTTCCTTCCTGTTTAAGCATTGCTGAAAAACACTTAAAAACTCTCGTCGAGTTGGAAAAATCTTCATGCTTGATGATATCTATCTTATTACAGTTGAGGAAATAACGCTGAAGTCCGAATCTAATAGCTAACATTGACTTCTTCATGTAATAACTTCCGTTCTTCCGTCTGGCACCAGCGTAAAACTTTTGCAGTACATTGTCCAGCTCCGAATTTGAAAGCTTGTTTACGCTATCGAGGTCTGTGCTGATAACTTGCAGGAAGTCTTCGAATATTTTCATGGAGCATTTAACGGAATTTTTCGTGTTCTTGCTGTCAGCAGAATCAATCAAGTCTCTCATTTGATCATCATCAAGAAGCTGAAATCTTGGGAGCGTTTCTAATTCCGCCATTTTGGCCTAGTACAGTCGGTCGTCTGCGTTGGCAGCTACTAGGGAGTCGGGCTAACTCGCCCCACGGGACATCTCGCCCCAGCGAGATATCCCGACATGATTTATCGATCGAGAGATACCAGTAGTCTGCTAATTAACGGCCAGGACGAAAGAATGTGAACAAATATCAGCCATATCGTCTAAAATGTACAATGAGCACAAACATATACACATTGGTATCTCTCGATCGATGAATCGTGTCGGGACATTTCGACCCAGTCTTTGATGCTGGGGCGAGATGTCCCGTGGGGTGAGTTACAAAATTGGTAAAATATAGCGACCAATTCTTCGCACACGTACGGTATCCTGGATCGCTCAAACCATTTTTTAACATGTAAACCTATGGGGTAACCATGGAGACTAAACTATTTTCCCGGTAACCATGGTTATTGGGATTTTAGAACTGTTTTAACCATGGTTACCGGGAATTTTACAGGAACAGTTAAAGTTTATGAATGCAATTTCGACCAATCAGATGGCTGGATTTCTTAAGTGAGGTATATAAATATATATATTGATATATATATGACATAAATGTACATCAAAAAGTAAAAAGATATGTGATGATCAACAAAAGTCAACATGAATTAATTTAGTAACTTTTAATATTAATAGATAGCAGTTTATTCAGTATGCCCCCTAGGCTCTGCCATTTGTTTGTATTACTGAATGCTTCACACACATTTTGCAATATATGTCTGTTGATGTTGTTGCTGTTTTTGAGGTTGCTTTTGTTGCAGCTGTTATTGTTGTGGTAGTTGGTGGTGTAGTCGTGTTGTCATTCATGTTGTAACAGTTGTTGTTGTTGTTGTTGTTATTTTTTATTACATGGCGAGGGAAGGCACACGTGCCTGCCTATTCCTTTGCCATGAAAGTTTTACAAAACCAGAGCCTCCAACAACATAACTGATGCAATCCCCTGTTTTGGCCCTGTAACACTGGATGAAGACAGAACGACTGAGAATAATTCTGCATCTAAAGAAAGTGAATGCATACAGGTATCTCACAGATGTACATTAGAGTAAAGCAATGTCGCGCAGTTTGCTCACCATAGGTTGCGTTGGTAATGAGCGTACTGGGATAGCCTGTATTTTCAACAGTAAGAATGCACTGGTATCCCCCATCTGCCAGTGGATACACACTATCAACATCAAAGACAACAGCTCGTTCTGACCCTGAGACAGTGCTTGATCTCATGGTGATTCCTGTCCTGTTATTGGTGTCTCCAGTACGTCTGTACAGATCAACTGAGGATGCATCGGGAAGTGGGATACCCTCAACATAACATGTGAAGCTAGATGGTTGGTATGGGTTCACTCTCACTGGAACCAATCTGGATATTCCTGTCAAGAACCAAGATGAGAAAATAAGAAAGAAGAAACTTAAATAATACACACAATTTGAAACACAGAATCTGTTTGCTTTATGTAATAATAACTAACAATACATACAGTGTATGGGGAACAAATCCTACATGCACTTTATAGGACATTGACCAATCCTGATATTCATAAATAAAGAATGGATTCGTTTGTATTAGAAAGAATGAACAATTACTTATAATATTGATATTCCTGTCAAAACAAAGCAAAAATACAAAACATTAAATACAAATGTACATGTCTGCAGCAATAGAAGATTGCAACTCGACCAGTCACTTCATTGTATCAGTATTTAGATCCAGAACTATATAGGCAAGATCTTAAAAAAAACTACCACAAATACACATGTTCATGTACATGCAGATTTACCTAAACAAGAGAAGATATCAATCTGATTATTGATTACAATATCTTAGTTGATGCAAAGTATCAGACTGGTGTACGTAATTTGATTAAACAAGTTAAATTGGAATACATACAATTGTCACCACGAGACAAATGGGAAATATGTAAAGTTAAGATAAAAGAATTTACGATGTCATACTGTAAACAAAAATATGATGTTCAAAAAGAAGCTTTTAATAAACTTAAAAAGGAATATGATACCTTGAGTAAACAGTTAGATAGGGATCCAAATGAAGATGTTATTAGTAAGATGAAGGAAGCACAGAAGAAAATAGATAAATATTATACACATAAATGTTAAGGGGCGTTTGTAAGATCGCGGTCAAAATGGATTGAAAAGGGTGAGAAGGCAAGCAAATATTTTTTACAGTTGGAAAAGCGCAATGGGCAGAAGAAAAAAAATAGAAAGTTTACATGTGAATGGAAAAACTATTAAGGATGATGAAAAGGTTTTACAGGAAATTCATAAATATTTTGAAAAAGTGTATGTTAAGGAATGCACGAATGTTCATGTTGATAATTATTTTAAAGATTTAATTATTAGTACTCTGACCGATGAAGAGGCATCGAAGTGTGAAGGGTTGCTAAGTGAAAAGGAATGTAAAGACGCTTTGCAATGTATGGGTAATAACAAAGCCCCTGGAAGTGATGGTCTTAGTGCTGAGTTCTACAAGGTTTTTTGGTTAGAAATTAAAGATTTGGTTATTGCAAGCTTAAATGAGGGGTATCACAAACAAAAATTATCTTCTTCTCAAAGGCAGGGTCTTATTACGTTGTTATTTAAGAAGGGGGGTAGGGGTTATTTAGACAATTGGAGACCAATTTCGTTATTAAACAATGATTATAAAATTGCGGCAAGAGTACTGTCTAAAAGACTTCAACGTGTTTTATCAAGTATCATTTCAACTGATCAAAGAGGTTTTATGAAGAAAAGATCCGCAGCAGAAAACATACGATTAGTACAAGATGTAATCGACTATTTAAAGACATCCAATAGTTGGGGAATTATATTCTTTTTGGATTTTAAAAAAGCATTCGACAATGTACACGTTCGCTCATAAAGGTGGAATATATTTTTTTTTAGCCCAATTTAGGGAATTATTTTAAAAATAATTTAAAAATAATAGATCTAGATAATAGTATACATTCTCAGATTTTATTGAATAATAGTTTGCCAATGTGTGTTTTGCGTGACTGCTAAAGCATGTTTATGCTACTATGCTTATTAATTAAGGGACCTATGCCCTTAAGTCATAAATGACAGTAATGAGGATTAATGCCCCACAAAAGGGCACTAATATAGCACATCGACACGGTTTTGATCCTGGGGCCTCACAGTTACGAGGCCATTGCTTTGTCACTGAACCATGACTGTACGCAGCGGGGGCTAGGGTAGGGGGCAGTTTCCATAAATAAAAAAAACACAGAAAATGCAATACATTTTCAATAATTTATTGCATTTTACCCTGGTCCCCAACATAAACAAATCCTCTGGAAGGCCATGCATTATGGCTCAAGGCATGGGCACACAGAATATTGTAGATAATTTTGTTCATGATAATGCCATTATATATACTGATCAACCTGTATAATATCTAGGAGTACATGTAGGCGAAAGTAAGAAATTGTTACAAGATTTAAACTGGAATGTAAAAATAGATAAAATTCGAAATGTATTAAATATGTGGAAAATGAGAGATCTTACTTTTTATGGCAGAATAATTGTTTTGAAAATGTTAGCGGCGTCACAAATTGTATATAATGCAACTGTTGTACCAGTACCAAAACATGTTTCACAGATATTGAACAGACTATTATTTCGTTTCTTATGGAACGCCAAAAAAAATAAAATTAAACGTAATGTAATTATAAGTGATATTGAAAATGGTAGATTGAATATGATTGATATTGCTAGTAAAATATCTCCACTTCGTTTGGCATGGATATCTCGTTTTTTAATGATAATGGCTCTTATTGGAAAAAATATGTTTAAATACTGGTCCGACAAAATAGGGGGTTTGCCACTATGTTTACATTTCAATTGTAACATAAAGGATATGAATTTATTATGCTCTAAACATAATTTGCCAGAATTTTATGTAAATTTTTTTGTACTTGGTCAGAACTAAAATTCATTGATATGTTTAAAGTAAGAAATATTCCACATGAAATTATTTGGAAAAATAGTAACATTACCTTTCAGAACAAAATACTGTTTTATCGAGAATGGCAAGAGGCCGGTTTATTGAAAATTCATAATTTGATTACAAATGGTATTTGGAATGATTCTACAATACTAAATACAAAAGTGAAAGCACAACAGCTCTTGTTTTTTTTAATATACAAAATTAAAGAAAGCATTCCCACAGTGTTGGTTGGATAGATTTAGTTATATACCTCATTTTAAGATTCTTTACTAATCCTGTCTTCTGATTGGTTGAAAATGCAGTCATGTTCTTAACCATGCCCGCTAATTGAAATTCATAGTCATTTTTCCCGGCTCTACCGGTTTATATCCATTTTTCATAGCACTTTTTCCATGGCTGTGAAACGTGACGTCATTTTGCTGCGATCCCCATTTTGGTTTACGTGTTACCGTATAAGTTTCTTTTGTGCGATGACCGATGCGCAATACCGTTAACGGTGTTTGAGTGCAATTCGATTTTGGTCGCTGCATTCAGGCGACGAATCTACCAATCCACGCAGCGCAGACGACCGATCGCCATTTTGTGTACTAGTCTCGATCGCAAAATACTGGGGTTTTGGGTGAGTCAACATTTTCCTTTTTTTCGGTATATAAAATATATATTGACTGCTTTTAATATTCGAGGCATAGTTGTTTCTATAGGGTCTCGGGAAACTCACAACCTGCTATGACCCCGCGGCGCAAGCGCCTTGGGGTCATAGCAGGTTGTGAGTTTCCCTTGACCCTATAGAAACCACTATGCCTCTCAAAGCAGTCAATATATCCTTACTATGAACTTGACAAGAATGTGATATTTCGAATATGATAGAAATAGAAACAGGGGATAAAGTGAATGTTTTTGTTATGAAAGTGAAAGATTACTATCGTTTGTTATTACGTAATAAGTCAAAAGAACCAAATATCATTTATTTTTGGAATTTCTTTTTAGATTTGGATAATGACTTTGTTTGGAAGGATGTATTTTTATTTAAATTAAAGCAAATTCGTAATAATAAAGTTAAACAATTTAATTTCAAGATGATTCATAGGTTTATTGCCTCAAAAGAAAACTTATATAAATGGTAAATTGTTAATAATAATTTATGCAACTCTTGTGGACAAGTTGACTCAACGTTTCATTTTATGTTATATTGCAAGGATGTGACTATGTTTTGGAAAATAATATGTAATTTGATATTTAATATATTCCAAATAGAAATACAAATAGATAATAGTTGTAGGAAAGGATATTGGAAACAAGAAATATTCACTTCTGAATATTATTTTAAATTATGCGCAATATGCAATTTATAAATGTTACGTTAAGAAGATTGTTAATGGTTCTGTTTACTACCCACATACTTTGTTTTTTTAATTCAAGTCGTTGCTAAGATTATTTTTAAGATATGAATGTGTTAGCAAAGAAGATAATACTAAGCTGGAAGAATTGTTGAATGTACTTTAATCTTTAACCTATGTTATGTTTCACTCAATTATTGAGTTATTAATGTACAAATGTATTATTATTATGGAAATAAAAACCTCGCTTGAGGATAAGAGAAAAAAAAATCAATCTGATTATTTTGTTTGAAGTAAAATTGCTAAATGTATCAATGCAATACTCCTGGTATGCAAATCATACATACTTCGTGAAACGACTTTTATCAATCATGACGTCTTTCCATTTGAGAAAATATTTTTTGTATTACAGTCAAAGCTGTCCACTTCAAATCCCACTTGTGAGATTTCATGTAGCGACCAGCAACATCAGCGCTTGAGCAATTTCGTTCACTCGCTCTGCTGAAAACGGCTCGCACAGCGGCAGCTTATAAACGGTCGTTTACACACCAAAATCAACTCAACCCCAAGCTTGTATTCAAACTTCAATCAAAATATTTAATGACCGACAGGGTATGGTTTCTTGCACATTTTATTACAGGGACGAGCCAATATAGGCCATTTTCTATGGGCGGCCAAACGGGCCAATATCAACAGTCACAAAAACAAACAAAGATGCATACAAACAAACAAAGAAGCATACAAACAAACAAAGGACAGAGCAAAATAGACAAAGTACCCAGAAGAAAGGACCAATTAACAAAGAATAAATCAAAGGTCAGAGCAAAATAGACAAAGTACAGGTCAGAAGAAACAGAGGGCGTTTTGGTTTACGGTAAGCAAATAGACATCAAGCACGAAAACGAGAAAGGACAAACTCAAAAGGACATCAGCTCAGCTACGAAGTGACCCTCAAAGGACAACAGAGGGCGTTTTGGTTTACGGTAAGCAAATAGACATCAAGCACGAAAACGAGAAAGGACAAACTCAAAAGGACATCAGCTCAGCTACGAAGTGACCCTCAAAGGACAAC